CCCCAGGCAGAGCAAGCTAGCGCCTCACCAGGTCTTTAAAACGAGGCGAGGCCGGATTAAAACTTTCATTGGGAGCCAGCTGGCACAAAGGCGTCGCGGAAACCAGCCCTCGCGAGCGCCGTCGTGCCGCCGGCGGGCGTCTCGGGGATGTGAGGAAAGGCCAGCACGCGCTTGCCCGGAGCCTGCGTCCCCCGCCGCACCACGTGAGCCTTACCGAAAGAGAAACGCCTGCCAGGCTGGGTGTCCGGGGGGTATTTTCACACGAGAGAAATGCAGACGTATAGGTAAAGAGCTAGTGCTCAGGCCTGCGGCCTGGTGGGCCGCTCCAGGCTGGGCAGGAGGCCCGGGGCAGTCTTCCCAAAAGTATCTTAGTGTAAAAAGTGCACAGTGATAAAGGTGCCCTTTGAAAAATAGGCAAATGTTCCTTAGTCATTTTAAGTGCTTTTAGGAATATTTTTCTGAAGTAATTTATTCATTATGCTGCTCTCCCTGTTATGCCTTACAGAGGAAGTCCTCTCAGATGCGGGTTCTTTAAAGCCACTTAGGTATCTAATTGCTATCTTAAATTAGTTCAGTGGTAGTGGGCACCTGTATACGTTTTGGAGAGTTTGGTGGTGCCCTGGTTTATAATCAGATCTTTAATCTTTCTTTTCCCAAGCTTTTCAGAAGGTGACAGCTGAGATTTCACTGCAGAGCCATTAAACCCTGGAAAAAAAATGACAGAAAGTGGTGGGCAGGAACAGTCAAGATGGACAACAACAGTTATTATGAGTACAGCTCTGCAGGTACAGTACCACTTGTCAAAAGCAGCATCTGACTCACTAAGAAATGCTGAAAGAAGCATTTCCTATATTCTAGATGTGGAAATATTTTATGCAATGTCAATTTTGAGGGTAAAACAGTGGCATGAGTCTGAAGTTGTTTCTACTGTAGTACTGGTTCTTTTTGTGTGCATGTGGTTTTTCTCCTTAGCTATTTCTGTACCTATTTAATATTCTTGCCCCCTGCTATTCTGAGTTATACTGCCTTAGGATTGTCCTCCTGACTCATCATTTTTTCGTTGCACTGATGCTGCTTTCAATTAGCACTATAAATAATTCTGTCAGAAATGTTTTTAATTTTTAGAATTTCTCCCTAAACACTTTATTTTCTACTATACAGTATCAACATTGGGGTAGATTATTACTTAGTAAGTGTGTAATTCAGTTTAAAATAGTGAGTCTTGCAGATATTGATGTATATTTATAGCCTTTAGTATCAGAAGCCTGGACTGTGTTTCTCAGTAAAGTGAAAGGGTATGTCAAGGAGCTGGTAATTAGTTCCTGCAGCTGAGACCAGTTTCATGCCAGCTGGAGAGAATTTAGAGGCAAGAGGGCTTTGATTCACAAACAAGTTTATCTTACGCTAGCTTGGCTGACAAGGTTATCACCCCATCTGTGTTATATAAATGGGTGAACGGCATTAAAGTGATTCCTGAATCACCTCAGTTTAAAGCCTGTTCTTATTTGCCTGCTCGTCTTAGAATGACAGCCTGTAAACTGTTGCAGTTTGGGAACTGCTTCAAGAGCAACTTAATCCATAATGTGGTGTGAGGTATCGGAGGGCAGTGATCTCATCAGCTATACCAGCATAACTCACTCCTATTAATAAGAGCTGCAGCTCTACTCAAAACTGCTGCTGTCGGTAAGGTCTCCCAGAGAGCAAAGATACGGTAACAGCTGAATACAAATCTGAGATTACTTTTCTTTTACAAAGGCATTGCTTTGTGTCAGTTTTGGTTATGAGCTTTCTCCTTTCCCTGTGCAGCTATCCTTTTCTTATAGCTGTTGTTTATATTTGTGTGTTAAATAATTCACTGTCGGCAGTGGCCTTGAAGCAGAGAGCTTTTCCAAAATTGTAGTTATACCAGTAGCTGTCATTGAGTGTTCCCTTTCCAGGCCAATTTGAAAGCATAACATTTCTGATTACTGCCTCCTTCAGGGTTCACTTGCTATCCTGACTTTTTGTGCTTTTCCACTAAGTCAGGACACTTCCCTATGTAGGCAGGTTGGCTACGCTTTAAATGGGTAGGTTAAAGAACATGTTATTAGCTAGAAGGATTCAGTGATTTGATCTTTAAAACGTGTGTGTTTGAGCAGCTTCTGTAGAACATACTGCAGAAATTCTTTCTGCAGGATGAAAAATATATCCAAACCCACTCCATTCTGTAGATGATTATGTTGCATAGTGCCATGTTCTAGTTTTCTTGAGTGGCTTGCATTCTGTCAAAAAGCTTTGAAGAAAATCATGTCTCATACAGATTTTTCTGAACTATCTTTCAAATGATATGCTGACATCTGTGAAAATAACGCAGAGTCTAATTAACTGGAGTAATAGAAACACAGTACTGTATGTTCCTCACTTCTGCAAATCCTCCTTTAGCACGTCTTACAAAAATAGACTGTAAAATGTTTGAGCTGCTTTATGTATTATGCAAGAGTTTCCTGTAGCAAACTGAAAGTATGCATACAAAATTGTCATTTAATGTTTGATAACTTCCAATACAAATATTTCAAAATTTCTTTAACTGAAAAAGTTAAATTAACACTTGACTACTTTTTTTTTTTATTGGAAGTGGAATAAAAAATATTTTTTAAAAAAATGATGCTAAAGTTCTATCTGTAATGGTCCAGACAATGCTTTAAGAGTATTTCTATCAAACTTGTTGGCTGAAAACATGTTATAAAAATAACCTTTTAAAATTTATTTAGAATCATGACATTTCTACAATTCTACAGAGGCAACAACACCGAGTTCGATATTCAGAATCGGTGGAAACTGGATCCGTGATTTTTTCTCTTTCTGGTACAGTACTTTGATGTTTATGCTTTTAAACTGATAAGCTCTAACAAGATACAAGATCAGACCTTGTTGTAGGCTACAGTAAACTGAATAAAAGCTGCCTTGTTGGAATGGCATGCAATAGTAGAAGCACCTGTGCTGTGATTGCACATAAATCAGAGGATAGGGCAGAGAACTTTGAGGATGAAACATTTTCATTGGTTTTTAGGTTTTTTTGCATATATTGCTAGATTTGGTGATCATCAGCTGAACTGTTCGGTAAAGTCTTGTTATAACTGAGCAAACACATTGAGTGCCACTAACATGTACGACAGCCATCAAGATTTTTAGTATTCATGGCTGTAAACACAAGAGTGAACCAAGACCCCTGCCTTTCATCTTACAAGTTGAGTTTGCAGACCTGGTGGTAGCGGAGGAGGTAGGGAAAGGATTCTTTGAGAAGCTTTGATTAGGAAGTCACTGAAACTGCAAACATGAAATATCTATCCTTGCATTTTAGAGCAGAAGATGCTTTAGACAGGTAGATAAGATCCTTAAGCTGAAGCTTTCCTGAACTATAAGGATTAACACGGCACACACTGGCCTAGTCTTTTATACCCTCGATTGTTAAGCCTCCAAAACTTCAGCCTTCTTAACTTTACCCTTCAGAATAAGTTAGTTGTTGGAGTTATTATTTCCTTTTTTATGGTAGACAGTCTGGCTTTTATGATATCACAGGTGTGTTTGTTTATCTTATTTAGAAATGGGACTTGCTGAGCTCTTCAATCAGTCTTTGCATTTGCCCTAAATTCATTCTATTATAGCAGTTGCCCGTTCCTGAAGCATGTGCTTTCAAAGGCATTCAGATGTCTGTACTCTGAGTGGGTTGAACAGTTGGGCTTTTTTGATGTTCTGGTCGAAAATAACCTCTGAGTGATTTGTAGTTTTATCTTAAAAATACTAGTCATCACTGGCCAAATCTCGTGTTTGCATTTCAGTGTCAAGACATGTGAATTCATTCATGTATTTTGTCCCATCATCTTTTAAACTAATGGTTGAGTAGGAATTCTGCTTCCTGGTTTGTGGTGAGAACTTAATCATGTTACTGCCATGACGTGCACATTTACATCAATTTCTTCAAATAGGTGTTGCATTTATACTGGCAGACACTCAAGACTTACTTATCACAGGGGAAGAACAGTTTTTCAAAAGAATTCAGAAATTCATAAACATTCATCGGAACGGTTTTTTGGTTTTGTCAGCTGCTCTTCATGGACCAGAAGAATGGAATGTCATGTTTAGAATTCAGAGAAGGTATGACTTCAACATCAAACCAAACTTTTTATTGCTAGGAAGAAATGAAGTAGCACTTCTAGATTTGGGAATATTATTTTAGGAATTATGTTAAGGAATATGAATGTATTTTTCTGATGCACTGGAAAATTATTTAAAGCATATGTTTGTTAACAGCAAATTAAAAGAATACTAAGTGAATCAGTCTGAGATGTCATAGGTAACAAAAGGGGTCACTCAAAACATAGCAAATAACATTCCTTTAAATCACTTTAGGGCTATGTAATATAATTCTTTGAAGAGTTTTTTTTCTTGAACTGGAAAATTAGGCAATTTTCTCAGCTCTGTCAGCATCTTTTCATGGTCATTTTCAAAAGAGAACAGGCAAGCTTCCTTCATGAGAAGGCTTTGTTGTAAAGTACAGATTCTCTACCAGCTTTTAAAATCTATTTACTTGGAACAGTGTCTATTATACAGAGCTGAAACAATTGAAATAATCAATGTTGTTTTACACCAAAAGTATAAAATTGGACATTAAAATGGGTTTGTGTAAAACTTTATCTGTGATTTCTAATGAAATCTGAAAACTTGTGTGTTTCAGTACATACCTGCTGACAACAGTTATCTGATATGTTATCTCCATACTTATAGTCAAAACTATTTTTTGGTAGGTACAGTAGTCCTAACTGTGTCTGATTTTTCACTCTTGACATCAAAGAAGTGACTATTCTAATGGAGTCTTTGATCTTTACCTCCTTTAAACTAGCACCAGTTTCATTAAATCCTGGGCACACTGCCAAATGCTGATGAGTAGCAGAGTGTATGAGATGAAATGTAGGAAATCTATTACCTATTTGTGAAAATTCCATAAATCTTCCCGAGAGGTCTCAAAAGCTCTGCCACCATTCAGCAAGAACATGTTATTCAGCTGATAGCAATGCTAATTCTCTGTCTACTTGTGGTTACGGTCAACTGATTTTGTGCATATGTTGATCGCTAACAAATGTGATGTTCTGAAACTACATTCCATTTGGCAAGTCAGTAATTTTATTAAAATAAAAATTAATATTTTTGCCACTGTATGCCATACCAAATTGATGTTGGCAAGGCACAATTATATTATAGATCCATGTGCTTTGTTACTACCTGGCAGCTTGGAGTTCTGCTAGTGCATGTAAATCACTGACCGAGCTTTTGCATTGGTGGCGTTGAAACTCGTGCCATATTCTTTCAACCTACAAGTCATCTGTTGGATATGGATATTTTCAGGTCTTCCTATGTGACTGTTTCTTTCTGCTTATCTATGGTTTTGTTGCAATGGGGAAGGATTTTTTTTTTAATTACTATTAACAAGAACATCATAGGATAGTTGTTCAACACTGTGAACACTTTATGTAGGGTTGTGTGTATCATGGGGGAAGTGGGGAAAAAAGCAATCTTAATCATCCCAGCTCAAATGAGCATCCTCAGTAAATCCTATGTTAACTTTTAAAAAACACCCCAGAGAAAAGACCAGCCTTTGTGTTCTAATGGCCAGTGTTCTGCCCATTGAACAAATTAATAAAATACAGACTAAATATAGACCTGCTGTAATTGGAAGCAAAATTCTTCATAGTAGATTTTCATGGATCTAGGTAAGTACACGTAACTGTTTCTTTGCACTTCGTTCATTCACGCTCTGCTTAGCCCATTGCTAGTATTAGCCAAGTTGCATCTCTCCATTTCCCTAATCCCTAAATGTAAATCAAACCACAGTTTCTGCATCAGATTTTAGCAAAACTCAACAGTGACCAGAGTACCTACTCTCAGGGAAGGACACTGCCTGTAATATTTATTTTTGCCAATTAGAAGAATGGGCAGACAAGTTCAGATCAGATATCTAACCAGCATGAGCTTAATGTGAATGAATCCAAGTCATCAAACAGATTGAGGGGAAGAACAGGTGGTGGTCACAGGGGAGGACACAACAGAGCAGCTGGGCACCTTTGGGTTAGATTTCTGGTTATTTAAAATTCCTCATTCTTTGTTGTTAAGTCCCTATCATGTTTTAGCTCTACAAGAGAAAATGGCAGCAACACTAACTTTGGTGTCATTGTTACAACATGCTTAAGATATAAAGTCTTAAGGAGAGGCTTCACTTGTGGTGAAGACTCAGTAAGAAGTTGTTTACATCATGTGGGAATGCTTTTTGAGTTTTATGGCATAACAAATTAAATGTGCATTCTAAAAGGAACCTTATTTTATTTTGATGTGCAGATTCCTGGGCAGTAACTTACGTATAATACCAGTTCATAATACTGCTGAAACTGTTAAGTTAATGCTAACTATAGCTAAGGTAAGTCTGGTTGAATATACTTAAAAAATACTAGTTCCTCAGAACTTCAGAAGTACATTAGCCAGGAAAAGTCAAGAATGGAACTTTTGGGGTCATATTGACCACAATCCATGTAATACATGGAGGTAGGACTGTTACTCTGATGCTTTAGCTGCGTCTTTAAACTACTGTTAAAAGTAACTTTAAAAGCTCTTAATAGCGTCTATGAAGACATATTTAAGAGTTAATTCGGCTCTTATTTACCACTATTAGGTTAGTATGTCATCTATTTGTGCAGAACCAGCACGAGATCCAAATATGTAATGACTTCAACTTAAAAACTGTAAAAATGCCAATCTGAAAACTCTAGTTACTGGTTGATTTTTAATGATACACATAGTAGTATATTATTTCTACAGCTCAATGAGTGTAACTTATCCGTGTATCTGCAACATATTCTGTATGCATCAACACATTATTAATTAAATCTATTTACTGAACCTGTTCAAAGAACATTTTTCCATAAAAATTCTAACTTAAGATACTTACTAGAGCAGTACCACCAGCATCCTGTGTACCAAAAAATAAAAAGAGAAGGCTGAATGACATTAGGAATCAAATATGGATTTACCTTTTATCCTTTCCTGAAGTGGGCTTCTCAAAATAATAATCATTAACCTGTTCAGAGTATTATTATTTTAAGTGTGTAAGCTACATCTCACTATATGGCAAAAGTTGTTATACTTATTACGATGGTGAACATCGTACTTAAAACTTTTTATGGAATCTACTGATGTCTGGCCCACTCTCTTAATACATCATTAACCTAAAAGCTTTTAAGATTACTGCTGATCCTGTAAATTTGAGTTTGCTTGTCTACTTGTTCAGAATGTTTATACCAAACTTGAGCAGGAGAGTCCCGTAAGAAGTGATGATAGTATATATCCCAAATCTATCAGTGCCCATTACATGACGTGTAATGAGTGTCATGAACTCATCTTTTGCCTCAGAATCCCTAACTGCTACAGGGCCTACGAAATTAACTTTTTTGCCCCAGGTTAACAGATGTGGGCAAGGGAGCAAGACCATCCAAGTAATCTTGAGGTACCCTACCATCTCCTGTTGAAATGGTGATGATCAGATGCAGTGCTTCCAGGGCTGGTTATTTTAGGACTGGTCTTGCACCTAAAGGGATACATCATATCACTTCTGTGTACATCATTCCTGAATACTTCAGAAAACATGATTCAAATAGCACTGCTGAAATACACTTGTACTATTTGAACAATAAGATGTTGAATATTCTATTACCTAGGAGTGACTGTGTCCTACTCATAATATCTTTCTTTCCTCTAAGATAACTTCCAAGCCAGAAGCAGATGATATTCGTTACAAAATGGCAATGACAAAAGCCCAAATAATAGAGAACAGTCCAGTTTGGAAGATACTTCAGTAGTACCAGTTGCATTGTGATTAATTTAGTATTTGGGTTTTTTATTCATAAATAGAGTGTCTACATTTTAAACAAAATATAGAATGCTCTTCAAAATACAGTTACATTTCAAAAGACTGTATATACAACTTATGCATTTGGAATGAAAATTTTGTATTAAATAACTACACAGTGAAAAATAGCATATGTTATACCAAATGTGCATTCTAAGAAAAAAAAAGTGGTTTAACTGCACTATAGAAAAGCCATCCTTATTTTTAACTGGATTCTGAACTTATGAGCTCACCTGTTTATAATAATTTCCCAAAGCATTTAACATACCTTACGGAAAACTTGAACGTTAAAGATAAGGATGATCAAAGCAATTCTAAAATACACATTTCCCATGCATAAACAGGTATATGTATGAAGTCTTATACATTGTGGTTTTTAACGCCAAGTGTTATCTGTTGTGTTACTAAGTTTTAACATCTTATTTGGCTCAAAGTTGATGTGTTTTTCTTTAAAGCTGGTTTCATTTGCCATAGTGTTTCTACTATTACCTATCTATATCTTACAGTGCTGTTTGTAGATAGAGGAGCTTGTTTGTCAACATTAAAAAGTGCTAATAAAAATAGCTTGTGCTTAAACAGTGCTTTTTAATTAATGGTTCTCCAGTCACTTTATAAAAAATCTTTGTCATTCACAACACCAGTCAGCAACTATTATCTAACAAATTTTGAAAATTAACAGAAAAATACACACGCAACCATACCTCCTTGCCCCAGCATAAGAACAAACCCCCTCCTTGTTTTCAGTTTCCAAGCTTAAGAAAAAGCATCAAATTCTGAAGAGGAGCACTTTAGTAAGTAGGCCATCTCTATGAATCACAACAATAGCAAAAGAAAATAAAAAGAAAGGCAACAAGGCATATGACGAGCAGCATTTGCAATTCTTCTAGAGGCCACTCTAAATTGCTCTTCTTTAAAGGCTGGAAGCCTCATAGCCAGAATGATCTTCTAAGAAGTACATTAATTACAATACTTCAGCTGACCTAACTATTTTCATCCATTACAGCTTTTATTTTCACTTCAATAAGTTCTTCTACTCGAGCTAGAACGCTTTCTATTAAATCAAATGTGAAGAGAGCCGAATGTAAAACCTGAAATGACAAAAGAGATTAATGTTATTTTTATTAGAATAATTTTTTTTTTTTTACTTACTGTACATGTACGTTTGTCTCCAAATAGAAAACAAAATTTAAATCCTTCTGAATAACTCTGAAGGAAATGCAAACTCACCTGAAGCTGCATTTCAGTAGTCATGGCAGGCATCTTTTCCCCACTGACAGTTACAGAGCAGACTGTGTTAGAACTGTGTGCCTCTGTAGAAGAAAATAACGAAGTTTCACATAGCTTTTAGAATGAGAAGAATATTTCATGTATTAGCATTTCTAGACAGTAATTGTTAAACACAAACCTAGGGATTTACCAAACACAGGACAGAAGGTGCTGAACCTTAAGAGGAAGACAGTTAGAACTGGCTGCTCTCTTTCTGCTTTCTGTATTACAGGACTACGTTACTAAACAGGCAGTATCTGCAACTCAAAAGAATTTGATGTAGCTAAAATGCGCCTTAAAAGGAAAAAACAATTCTTAAATCTAGTAGTTTTTGACACATTTTTAATATTTCCACATCCAGAGAGATAATAGGAGGTTCTTTAGCTTGACTTAATGAGTCCAGACATGAAATACTTATTTTCTTAAGAAAAAGCTGCAGGCTTCTCTGTTTCAGGCTGATTTCGTGCAGCAGGCAAAACTACAAGGACCAGTCTGAAAACTAAGGGGAAAAACCTCTTACATTCAGGCCACATAGCTGAAGTTCAACGTAATGCTTACAGTTTATACATCGGGAGAAAAAGGCTAACCCATTTACTGTTACAAGTTAGATGTTTTCTCCTGAACTCAAATCTCTATTCTTTGTCAAAGGCTAGAGGAATGTAAGAGGTACTTAAAATGAATCAAGAAACTTTTTCTTTAAAGGATTTGCTTTAGAGGGATATCCACAGGCTGCCTTCAGAAAAATTCCCCTTCTTTGCCTCATACTTACATAGTGTACAACAGCACAAGAGGGTAAATCTAGGGGCAAAAAGCCATGCTGACATTTTTGGTAGCAGAAGCAAGTTCCTTGGGCTGTCTTAATTATACTGGAGACCACAAAGGAACAGAGGATCTGACATACACAGACATGGCCTAAAGCAGCTACAGGTCTTATGCTCTGTGGGATGTGGCTGCTTAACCCAGAGCGGATTCTGTGTGTCAGATTAAAAAAAAAAATTTAAAAAATCCAGAATATAGTCCTTCAGGCTTTAAGAGAGCAGCTCTTTGCTGTGTAAATTATTTCCTCGCATGTTAACCTCCCCACACCTATTAAAAAATCTAAGGGCTATATATTCACAGAGACGTGGATGCTTCTGCCTAACCTTAAAACTATAAATGCAGAGCAAGTTTTGAAGGTCTTCATGTGACATTTCTACCAGGTTTCCATACGGTTTACAAATGTGATGAGAGATAAACAAGTTCAGATTTTTCTGACCATTCATGAAAATTATTAGTATCAAATATAGCAACTAATGAATTATTATTTTACATTTGAATAGTGTCAGCAGTTAAATAAAACATGATCTGTACAGCACTCACCAATTCCTTGTTTCCAAAGGATTTCCAAAAGTTTCTAAATACGAACAAAGCTGAGGAAAAAAAACAAACTAACCTCTTCTGTTTTCTTTCTTATTCCTTATTTCTGCTTCATAGTGCGCTTTTGACATATTGAGTCCTACATGCAGTGGTTTTAAAAAATTCTGCTCAATCTTGGCAAGCACGGTCCATACACCAGTCTATTCAAACAGAACAGAGACAGTTACAAATTAGTTTTAATGAAGCATTGCAATCTAAGTTTTCAAGCACAAGTTTTTGGACTAGTCTTTATAACATACACTTCTCTGCTGGGAGGGAAAAAAAAAAAAGAATTTAGACTCATTCATTTAAGCATGAATAAGCATCACAATGGATATTTAGGTTCCCCTCCCTCTCTCTTACCTTTTCAATATTATTTGTTAAAAATTGGAGGATGAAGCAGTCAAAAAAAAGGAGGGGAGGGGCACCAAGCTTCTTATGTAGCCTGATAACTATAGCAATGGAAATGCACATTTTCACCTTGTTCTTGTAAGCAAATCTGAAATGATCTTGCTATGCTGGGGAGGTACTAGCCACTTTCTCAGGCTAGAATCTCTACAGTGAGTAAACAGCAGTTGTAGATTCCTCTAAGATAGTTCAGCAGCAAAACAGCACAAATAATTAAATTCACGTTCCTGAATTAAGACTCTATTGCAATGCCAAATGAAAGCTCTAACAAATGTCATGCTCTCCAAATATATAAGGGTCTTGTCTATATCACATTCAGTTTAAAAATCATTGTAGGATGTTACTGGATCTGCTACTACCCCACCCTTAGGCACAGTAGCCAAAGTGACCATGAACTTCTCCCCAGTTTGGCATGGGTGAAAGGAGGAGTGTACAATAATGGCACTCAGGAAGCAAGGGATACAAGGAAAATATGCTCAAAAGCAAGGCTGTTGAAGGTTACTCCACACAAAACGCTGCCTTGGCACCTTATAAGTTTTTAGTTACAAAACTGCTGTAGAAGGAAACAAATACAAAGCAGTCTTTGTGTCTTTAGATAGAGGAGCCATTTATATGACTCGTTTCTTCAGGCAGTATCCTCAAAGGGCAGTGTAAGGATGATAAAAATATTAAAGTTATTGTTGATTACAGCAGAAAATTCACCAAATTTTAATGCTAAATGACACAAAGTTAACTGCTCAAATAAGAAAACTTGTAATTACTTCCACTAGAATGGGGCTAAAAATGAAGAAAAAAACTTTCCACAAAAATACCAATTTTTAAACTTGATTAATGAAAGTGCTTGTTACACAAAAATGAAAACATCTGAACTGACAGGAAAGGAGGCATTTTCTTTCTGCCCCACTTGCACTATATGAAGGGAGACAGGGAAGAAGTCAAGAAGAACTGACAGGGCTTAAATTTAAGGGAAAACTTCAGAAGAGGTGAAGTTTTGAGGAGAAGCTATTTTCTCCTCAAACTGTAGGGACATTCTTTATGCCAGGTATTAGACAGCACTGTTACAGCAATTGTGTGCTACTATGTATAAATTTTAATAGAAGAGGAATTCTCTCTTTTCTTACAAAGCTATGCATTTTTATGAAACTGAGTGGACCGTCATGAGCACTTAAATAGTAATCACTCCATAAAGCTGAGAAACAGACGGAATCTATCAAAACTAACTAATTACATACATAGTAAAATAGAAATGCACCAATTGAAAGCTATTTTTACTGCTCATTTTCATTACGGTTTTGGTAATCAGTGCAAGCTATCTATTATTCTACTTAGACTAATAACATCATTAGGCACTTTAAAACTTGTATTCATAGATCTCAAAGCGCTGTAAAAGTAGATCAGATTTTTTTCTGTATTTTAGCAGAAAATTGTATGCTGAATTTCATTATTCCAAATCATAAAGAAAGTTGAGGAGCTGGGGGAGAACGACAAAACATCTTTGGATACTTATCTGCTGGTTAGAATATTCATCTGACCATGACATTGTTTATTCAAGTCAGGAAAGGCTTTACTGTACTTTAAAACTGAAAAGCAATTTTTCTTTAAACTGTCACTAATTTAAATAAATATTTTAATGCAAAAATCAAAACATCTAGTACTAAGGAGATGACAGAATAGTTTGGGTTGGAAAGAACCTTTAAAGGTCATCTAGTCCAACCCCCCTGCAATGAGCAGGGACATCTTCAACTAGACCAGGTGATGTTTGCTACATGCCATAGTGGATAAAAAGCTACTGAATTGCATAAATTAGAAGAATGGTGGAACATCATGATTTGAAAGAGTCAACAGAAGCTGCATTTACTATTAGAATAAGTAGCCATTTGG